GGTAGAGGTGAATGGTGACGTGGTCGAGACACAGATGTTAAAGTGTTTCTCCACGGTCCCGTTGGGGCCACAGATATCCCAGTAGCAGATGATACCATCCTGGGTCTGATTAAGAACCTTCCCTGCACAAGGGGAGATGGATGGGGCCATGAACCCAACAGAAAACAGACTTTCAGGGCCTCCCCAGCTGGTCTCATGTGACAGAAGTCTGGGAACCATTCCAATGGGCCCACAGCCCCAGAGCCTCTGCCTTCGAAGACAGAACAATGGAAATTCCCCATAGAGTGCCACTCCCACGCGAGGGAGGGAACAAAGGTGTGCATGTGGACCCCCAGGCCTGCTGCATGGCTCAGTGAGGTGGAGCTGGGAAGGACCTTGCACAAAAGAAGCAGAGCCCAAGAAGAAAGCAGGGCCCACCCACGGCCAGGCCCCACTGTACAAGAACAGCACAGCCCCCAGGCCTCCTAGGTTAGGACCTCAGCCTCCAGTCTGCTTACCTTCGTCAAACTGGCAGGTGATTTCTGAGGTGTTGGTACATTTGCTGCAAAGCAAGAGCACAGGCTGCAGCCCCTTCCCACAGACACCCTCCCTGCTCACAGACCCATGTACCCATCTCCCTGAGCCCTGGCCCAAAGCCCCAGGGCACCATCCCAAACACCAGCTCAAAGGAGTGACGTGGGGTGCAGTACACTAAAAAATCTGGGCAAGAGGGCCCTCACACCCCCAAGAACAGGGACTAGCCCCTCTGTACCCTGGATCCCATGACCATGTGTATGCACATATATGACTGTGCACCTGTGTGTGCCTCTGTCCATGCATCTGTGTGTGTACGCATGTGTGATTGTATGGGACATGCATGCATGCTTGTGGCTGTGCATATGTACTTACATGTGCATATTCACCGGCCTGGAGTGGCCATGTGTCCACATGTACATTCAGGTATGTGTGCATGTTGTGTGTGTATGTGTGGCTTGTACATAGACATGTATATCTATGTCTACATGTGTGTCTGCATATACTCATGTGCGTCTGTGCTGTGTATGTGCCAACCTCTCCCAGACCCTGTACAATGTGGGCTCCGTAGTACCAAGACTTGCAGATCTCCTCAGTGGGAATGGGTGTTTCAGGCAGGTAGTGATCGTCTTCAATATAACAGCCACATTCTTCCCTAGTGACACATTTCTTCCGGTCTTCATCATAGATGGACCTCTCCTCAGGGCATCGAGGGTAACAGCCTAGTAGATGCAGGAAGTGAGGCTTGGACCACCATGGAGGACCCCCCACAGTCCACCATACTTGCCTCGTCAGCCCCACCCCATCAGGCCCTTTGCCGGAGATGTTCTTCTATCGAGACCAAGGGTCTCTGTCTCCCCTGCCACTGGGATGTTCTACGCCATGTGCCCCAGCGGTCCCCACCTCTGAGTTAGCTGCTCCTCTGCCACCTCTCCAGGAAGCAGATCCTTAGCTCAGGTTCCGTGACCTCAGTCCAGTGAACAAACTCCAGTGAGCTCGGCCTTGTCCTCCTAAGCCTCGCCTCTCAAGCCCTCAGGGCCCTCTCCAGCATCCCCACTGTCTCCGGCTGACTGCAGCCCTCGGCCTGACGGGGGCCTGCCTCTTGGTGGCCACCTCCCTGGAGGAGCCTGCCTGCTCACCCTCCAGGTAGGACACGGAGATGTTGGAATGGATGCCATTGATGGTTCTGCAGGTCTCAAAGCTGCGGTTCCCACAGGGCTCATAGTGCCATTCACACTCATCCGGGGGGTTGTAGTAATCACAGAATATGGCTGGGGGAGAGAGGGTGGGGACATAGTCAGGCTTTGGAGGACATGGGTGGATGATCAAGTGAGCCTGGGGCCAGGGGATGTGGGCAGAAGCAGGTCCAGCCATCTCCTACCAAGTTAAGTCCCACCATGCCTCAAGAAAGCCTGGGAACAAGTGTGGGGCGGGTGACATACAGTCCTCGTTTGGATGGGGAAGGAAGCATTGTCTGCCCATGACGTGGCACACTCCAGCCCTCCCTGAAGCCCCAGGCCCAGGACCACAGGCACTCACGGCACAGGTCTGGCGTCCTCCAGAACACGCAGGCCTCCGCCTTGGTACACTCCTGGGCATAGGAGGCCACCGCAGAGCAGAAGCAGTCACAGTCGCCCCCGGAGTCACAGGAGCAGGAGTCAAACACACAGGCCTCATAGAAGACCGTGGGGTCCACCTGCAAAGAAGACCTCAGTGCGTCCTGGGCCGACACCACCCACGAAGAGACGGGACTTCTGCCTGCAGGCCCTGGAGCCCAGGACACTCAGGCTAACCCAGGGGGCCCAAGGGTGGCTGATAGAGGGAGGGCAGACACACTCAGCCCACCCTAGTTGGCAGATCTGTCACCCAGCCCCCCGAGGGGCCTCCACTGTAACATAGTCACCCTAAAACTGGTCTCCCCTGCTATCTTCCAGGTACTAGCAGAGTATGTCCTTTCTCTCCCTCTCTGGTGAGCATGTAACCTGGGCAGGGGAGTCAGGGAGCCACCCAGGCATCGAGGTGGTCATCTGGTCACCTGACCAAAGAATGAAGTGGACAGAGCTGAAGTTGAAGGACATGTACCCCCTGATGACACAGCAACATACCTCCATAGCTGACATGGAGAGGCCAGGAACCCCAAGAGCAGCCCTAGGGGGACTAACAGGCCACACCCCTCTCCCAGTCACAGCAAATCACATGGCTCTTTCAGTGGCCTCTCCCACGGCCCTGCCCACAGCCACAGTGCACCTCTAGTGAAATTCCACCCCTACCCTCGCCTGCCTTACCCTGCCCCACCTTGCTGTGGCCCACCGTGCCCACAGCCCCACCCACCTTGCTGTGGCACACGCTGAATACACGGCTCTTTATAATGCTACACTGCTTCTCGGCCCACGAGCGGCGGTGTGGGTTTAGGCTGCAGGGGTCCAGGGTTTTGGTCACATCCGGACAGGTGGAAGCTTCCTTCCAGCTGTTCCCAAAGTCTAGCTCGCTGGTCACCACCATGTGGTCCCTCGTGGTGAAGTCATTTTTGGTCTGGTAGTCAAAGTTCCCACACAGGCCACACACAGTACCCTGGAGGAAAGAAAAGGGTCTCCAGTTCCGGTACGGGTAGGGCCTGTGCTCGAGGCTGCCTACGGTAATGCTGGCAACTCAGTGGCCCACCTTGTAGGAGGGGGCCAGTTTGATGAAGATAGTGGTCTTCTTGTCCCAGATAACGATGATGCCGGAGCTGGCCTCAACCACCAGGTACTGGCCCACTTCACGAGTGATGTAGGACACATGGTGGCCTTTCTCCAGCTGTTTCACCACACGATGTTTGTCCACTAACTTCAGCTCTGTCCTCTGTCGAGAGAAGACAGTCACTGACCACGTCCAGGGCCCCTGAGGGTGTCTGTGTCTCAGGGACCAGCAGCACTCACCCCTATGAAGATCTTGATGGCCTTGGAGCAGGTGACACCAGTGGTGCCACAGGGAACGTTCTCAGTGATGATGCTGAAGGAGCCGGTGGAGTTCTGGCCACAGTAGTCCTGGGGACCCACAGGACAATGTCAGTCAGGGCACACAGGTGCCCGCTGGCAAGGCTACAGCCAGCTCTCTGGACAGAGCCTATTCTGCCCTTTCCCATCTGGGATGCCAGGCCCTGAATCAAACCCAACCCAGCCAGCTCTTCTTCTATTGGCTGAGGGTAACAATGCCACAGGGGGACAGGGATTTGGAAACTTCCTGAGGCTGTCCACACACACGCACACGCACACAGAGCTGCTCTCTCAATCCCTCACTGTGAAAAAGCAGAGCTGAGGAGCAGCGAGGGGTTTTACCACACCCACCCTGCTCACAGATGTAGCCCAAATTTCCTTGGGAGTGTTGGGGTCCAGGGTGAGGAAAGGTCAGCCCTTTCCACCTCGGGGGCTCTCTGTATCTCAGGGAGCAGTCCACAGCCTCACCTGGACAGCCACATAGGAGCAGTGTCCATCAAAATCGTAGTGTTTCCCATCAAAGGTGATGTAGTGGCCATTCCCGTAGATGGAACAGGTGCTGTAGCATGCGTACTGAGTGCACTCCCAGCGTCCTTTCTGGCAGGTACTGAAGAGAATGGAGGGGAACCTGAGGGGGCCTGAGGCCAAGACTCCCAACCCTTCTCAGAAAGCAGCCTTGGCAAGGCCCTGGGTGCCATGCGGACAGTTCCCAGGCAGCCCCTGCAAGTACCCACAGTGACTGAAGAAAACCCTCCCACCACACACACCACACAGCCCTGCCTCTTGGGCAAGGGGTAAACACAAGACTTGCCCTGTTAACAGAGTGGGGCCTTTTCATGGCCCTGAAAGACCAGGCAGATCCCGTAGGGGAAGTGCCCACCCCCCAGCCCAGCCCTTCCCATTCACCAGGTTGGGCCCGCTCACCAGGTGTTGTTACAGTCCAACTTGATTCTTTCCCCAGAGAGGTACAGATCTTTGTTGTGGATACAAGGACATTCCTCCTCCTCCACACAGCCACCACGGCCATCATCCAGCAGCCCATCAGGACACACACAGCCACTGATACAGTCTGTATGGTACTGGGGTAACAGAAAGCTGGCTTCAGATGAGGCCCAAGCCCTCCCCAGGCATCAAGAGTAGATGTCCACGTGAGAATCTCTGACAGTGTCCTGGGCCCAGACCTCTCTTCCTCCCTTCTAAGACTGCTCCCTTCAAGCCCACCACTGGGCAGGAAGACCAGGTAGGGGTTGCTTGTTAAGGTGCCTAGACAGGCCTCAATAGATGGGGTGTCTGTAGGACTGGGCCTTCAGCCCCATGGGTAGGCAGCGTGGGGACCTGCCTGTTCCCTCCACAACAGACTCAGGCAGCCAGAATGCCCCCTGACCTCACACCCCAGGGCAGCCCTCACAGGCACTCACATAGCCAGCCACCAGTGTCTGACAGCTGATGGGACGGGGTTTTGTGATGGCCAGAGCGGTCAGGTTGTTACAGTCCACAAGGATCTTCGGGGCTGCACATTCTGTGGGACAGAGTGGGGTTTGTCTTAGCTCAAGGTGAATTCAGGGAACCAGGAGACCAGGGCAAGTGAGTGGCAGTACACAGGCAATGTCTACTTACCCTGACCGATCATCATAACCCGATTACATTGCAGCCTCCCATTGCGACAAATGCTATAAGAGACGGGAAGGGATGAACAAGGCCCAGGCACAGTCCTCACACAGGATAGGTGCCGGCCGGGAAACTCTCAGGGCCCCACCCCTGGCACCTCTGCACCCTCTGGAGGCCTCAGTCCGCATGAGTAGAGCCCCCCGCCCCCCGCATGTCTCCACTTGGGGCAGAGATCCAGAAGCAGCCCCCTCCCCTCCATGGGCCCCTTGCTGAGTGCAGGACACCCACCAGCGCTCCTCCTGTCTCAGGATCACCTCTCCCGCCTCCAGGTAGAGGCCATGGTGATAGCAAGAACACTTGGCCAGAGGCACACAGCGGCCCTTCTCGTCCATGAAGGTGTGGTCAGGACAGCCACAGCCCTCCACGGGTGCAAATCCCTTGAGGCAGTGGGTGTCGCCCTCTGAGAGGGAGCGGCAGGTCTGCTGGCAAGTGGTCAGGTTGTACAGGAAGATCTGAGAACTGGGGCAGTCCTGTACATCTTTGTCTGCAGAGGGGACCACACAAGAGTGAGGGGAGAAAGGACCTGATTCCGGCACCTGTCCCTCTAGTCTGTCCCTGAGTCCCTCCCTCCACCAGGATGGTATATGCCTGACTGGCCAAAGGCCCAGGAGGACAGCCACCCTGGGAACCCCTCCCCACAGCTGCATCCTTCCCACAGTCCGGTCCCTGCAGCATTCTGCCCCCCACTGCAAGCAGAGAGCAGAAAGGCTCGGGTTGTCTCCTACACCCTGGACCACCTGGGCGCAGGGTCCCCAGCCCTTGGAGTACACAGCCTGGAGCCCCCATCCCAGTTGGCAGCCAGCTGGGAAGGCACTCACTGCAGACACTCTTCCTCCAGCCCCACAGCATGACGCCCTTGGCCGCACAGGCTCGGGCGTAGGAAGACAGAGCGGCACACATGCAGTCCTCATTGTTCTGGCAGTTACATGTGTCGTATTTACACCTCTGAAGGGCAAGCCAAGGTAGCAGATACTGAGGGGAGGCCAGGGCATAGCCCCAGAACCCCTGTGTGCACATGTGCTACAACTCACAGGCACAGACACAGACACAGACACATATCACACACACACACACGCATACACACACACACACACACACACACACACACACACACAAGCCACGCTCGGGCTCAGGCAGGTGCCCCAGCACAGTTTGCTGACTCTCGGGGACTCTGCACACAGCACTGAGTATGTGGGGCTGGTCGAGGGTGGACTTACCTTGTAGTACTCGGTGGGATCCACGGTCAGGTGGCACCTGGCAAAGGGGGTCTCTGACCTCTTCAGTAGGGAGCACCAGTGCTCAGCGTAGTTGGCTGGGGGGCAGGGGGTGAGTCAGAACCTCAGCAGGGGCCAGGCCACTCTCAGGACCCTGAGACCCTGAGTCTAGGTGTCAGTTCACCCAGGAGGGAGAGGACATGGCCTCCTGTGTAGCCCAAGCTCAGACCCCTCCCTCCTTCTGGTCAGATCTCCAGGCAGCTATAAACAAGGTGAGACCACCTTACACAGCACCCACTTCCTCCCTTTTTTAGCCCCAAGGGGCCAGGAATCTTCAAACATTGTGGAGATATGGGTAAGAGGGCATGTTGTCACAGCATTAGGCCAAGCCCTGGATGTGGGCCACCACCCCACAATTAGCCAGCCCAGCTGGGCTCCTTGGAGAGCTGCCACCATGGCCACCATAAACCAGTTGTACAGTGAGAAGCAGCAGGTAGATGGACTGGCCCCCAGCACTGGGGGTTAAGTGACCTCCACCCACCCCTAGCCCACACATCTTGCCCCGTCTGCTCTGAGACCATGCTGGCCAAGGCTGTGACCTGGCAGGCTAGTGGATAGTAAGTACCCAGCTTCCCCTGAGCCTCACCACTCTCGATGTTGAGGGAACAAGGGTCATCCAGCCAGTCTAGCTTGTCGTGACAGCTCGACTGGGCCTTCCAGGTGTTGGCAAAGCCTGCACCCGTGGCCTCCACCAGCCCGCCAGATGTCATGAAGTCATCGCTCTCCAGGCCATTGAAGTTCCCACAGAGGCCTGCGGGGCCAGGACAGGGTTAGGAAGGGTCTGGGGAGTAGCAGGGGCCTTTGCAGGGGTAAGATAGGTGGGGCAACTCACCCTGCACCTGCCCCTGGGCAGCCTGGTCCAGAGTCACAAAGAGCTGCATGACCGGGACCAACTGGACCTGCAGCCGCAGCCCGAACACGGTGTTGATGACAATGTGATAGGAGGAGGGTTGGAAGATGGAGAAGCTCGCTGTAAAACAGTAGCACAGTGAGGGGCAGCCTGGGTCCCACCTCACCCAGCACACCTCCAGCTGTGGGGTGACATGCCCATCATCCCCTACCACCACCAGAGACCCAAGGACGAAGAGTGTGCCTGAGGACACAAGACTCCTCCTCAGCCCAGCCTCCTGGGCTTGTCTAAATCTTGGGACGCTATTGAGTGACGGCAGCCCAGGGCCCCTCCCTCCCTGAGCTCCACTCACCTGCCACGTGGGGCAGGGTCACCTGCAGCTCATTGAGCAGCACGCTGCCGTCCGATTTGAAGGCCACCACCTGAAAGAAGAGCCAAGGGTACACAGAGCTGAGAAGGCCTGCAGGGCCCAGGGATGCTGGGAAGGGGAGGGGAGGCCTGGGGTACCCACGTTCTTCTTATTATCGGTCAGCAGCAGCACCGTCTTCAGGCAGGTCTGCTTGTCTGTGGAGCCGCAAGGGGCCAGCTCACCCAGGACGGCGTAGGAGTCATTGTGGTCACCCTGTGTGGTAAGGGAAACATGGTAACAGAGGAGCTTACAGACACCTGCACCCCAGACCCCCATTCCTCGTCCTGTTCCAAGAGAAGCAACACCAATCTCCCCAGGGAAAGCCCAGATTGGGAAAAGCCCTCATCTCCATGATTGGTCTCCTTCCCCCGAGAAGACGGAGGGGGTGCTCCCAACTCCATTCACCTGCCGGAACCTGGTCTGCATACCTTGGTCAAGACATAGTAACAGTCCCCGTGGAAGGTAAACTTTTTCCCATCAAAGGTGGTGATGTGGGAGCCACCTTCCAGGGCACAGGTCTCAGGGCAAGGCAAGTCTTCACACACCCAGCGACCAGCATTACAAACGCTGCCCAGAAGCAGAGCACAAGGTCAAGACTCAGTGGTACCCCAGCCTGCCTGGTCCCCAAGCTCTGCCCTGAAACTCACCAATGCTCGCAGTCATTGGTGATCTCCTGGCCTGGTATATATAGGTGTCCGTGCAGTTTGCAGTGGCACTGGTTTACAGGGATGCAACCACTGCTGGTGATGTCATCATACACAGTGCCTAGATAGCCAGGGAGGGATGTGACCTTATGTCAGAGAGCCTCAGGAAGTGCCAGTCTCCAGGGAGGGGCTGCAAGTCAGCCTCTACCCACAATCATCCAGACCCCTGTTTGCTCAATGGGGAGCTCATCTCCTAACCCTTAGGACTCCTGGGAGGATCCCCTCCAGACCCCTCCCTGCCTGGTCCCCACTCGGTCCCTGCATCAGAGGCCTCCCAGAGCACGCACCTTCTGGGCAAAAACAGCCATCCATGTAATGTTCCTCACACAAGCTGCTGACCTCCAAATGTGAGCAGGTGTCCACGCAGGGCGAGCTGCTCTCCAGGTACACCATGTTCCCAGGGCAGCTCTTGTCTAGAAGCAAAAGCAGTTCCATCCATCGAGGCCACCCACAGATGCAGTGCCTGGATACTTGGCACAGCCACTCCCCAGGCCCAGGGACGCTGGCACCAAACACCATGCAAGTGGACTCCGAGCACCCTGTGGGAATCCAGCCACTTACGGCAGAGTGAGGCAGTCCTCCAGTTGTCGGGTCGGCCACCAGCGTGGGAGCACTGGCGAGAGAACTCAGCAAGTGTACTGCACTCGCAGGCGCTGTCCTGGGGGCACCGGCAGCGATCCTGCATGCAGGCACGCACGTACAACTCCACAGGCACTCGGGCCTGGCAGTCCTCGAAGGCAGCAGAGGTCAGCAGCCTCTCGCACTCGGCTCGCTGGAGAAGGACGTGAATGTGTGTGACTTCTCACGGCCCTCTTCCCTCCCCTTTGGGCGCAGGGATCCCCAACAAAGGTCAGCAAATGCAGGTTCCCTGCGCGCCTGGGGGTCCCCGACAGTGACTCACGTGCTCAGAGCAGGACTCCGGCTCTGGCACCTCTTCGGGGTCCTCACACGTGACTTTAGGCTTGTTGATCTTCTGCAAGTTCCCAAACTCAATGGCACTGTAGTGTATGCCTGTGGACCACAGCCGGTCAGCAATGGTCAGTGGGAGCCAGGAACCTGAAACCATACCCCTGCCTACCTCCCAACAAGCCCAATACAGGGCTCACCTTCAGAGAGGAACTCATAATAGGTCTGCATGCCATTGAAGTCCCCACAGAGGCCACAGGTGTGGTTTTGGAAACGGCTGTCCAGCTCTAGCTGTTTGGGATGGGCAAGCAGATGAGCAGGCCACAGGGGCCAGGGTGGCTTCCAGAGCCCCTAGGCCAAGTAGGCTCCTCAAATAGGGCAGGTGGGGAAGCAGAAAGGGGTCAGCCACCAGAAAGGGTCCTTCAGGGTGGGGCACCAATGTCTCTGAGGGACAGAGACTGCCCACTGCCCCTACAGTCCACAAGGTCCCCTCCCAAGCCAGGTTAGCAGAGGCTCTGTTCCCAATCATTGTCTCCAGCAGTGCTCCCCACCACACAAGGATCTGGGGGTCCTGACCACCCCCTTTGTGAAGTGTGGGAGCCCAGTCCTCCCTGCCCTCCTGTGGAACCACCAGAGATGAAGGAGCCCCACCACCCCAGGATCCAGGACACTGATACCCACCATGAGCGCATCTTCCCGGTTCCACATGAGGGAGAGGCCAGCACGGGAGTAGATTTTGGTGTAGGCATCGTTCTTCTCAATGAGCAGTCCAGAACTGTAGTGCGGGGTGCTGACCCTGTGGGGGCCGCCAGGGGTCACTCACCAACTCTCCACCCCAGAACCCACCTGATTTGTCCTCCTGGGGGCCCTGCTGTACAGAGAGCACTGTGGTCCTGGGCATTGTGAGAATGAAGCCAGCCCCAGCCCAGCACCTTACTTGTCTAGTCCCGGCTCTCATCCTCCAAACTCCAGGAGGAAGCTAGAGAGCCTGGCAGAGGCCTGGGCAGTGGCCAGAGAGTCCCTGTCCTGGGCTGGGTGGGCTTCCTTGAGGAAGAGCTAGGCCCTCTGCCTATCTCCCTTCCTATGCCGCTCTGAGTCCAGGGCAAGGCCCCTCCCAGAAGCCCTAAGAACAGTGGGTTTGGGGCATGTGGGGGACTGAGCCCCCCAGCCCTCTGCAGCCTTCTGCTCAGGATTTTACCCCACAGTCTACCTGGGGAGGAGCTTCAACCCCTAGGGCTGTCTGATGCTGTCAGGGACCCTATCCCATGCTTCTGCCTGCCTGGAACTGCCTCTGAGCCTCACCCCCTAGAGACCTCTGCCACACTCAGCCCACACATAAGAGTATGGCCTAGGCAGACCAAGCAAGGTAAGAGAACCCTGGGAGAGCCCCAAGCAGGACACAGGCAACCACCCCCAATCGGGAAAAGAGCAAATGGTGGAGAGGTGGGGAACCCGCTGGACAGGAATGTACTTAAGAGGACCGTATTGTTACAGAGACAATGCAGGCAACAATGGGGCTCAGGCAGGCAGCCTCTCCCTTCTGGGCTTCTGCAACTCTAGCCTGGGGACTTGCTCTGGCAACCACCAGCCCCCACCCCATGGAGGGCTGCAAGGGGCTCACAGGGCACCTAAGACCCCTTGTCTATGGAAAGGGACTCATCAGTGTTTGTTGGATGAATCCATGACCAAATCAAACCTAAAGGGTCTCCTATTAGCCTTATGCCAGGGCAGAATGGGGTCCCATGGGGGCCACCTGGCTCAGGAAAGCTGTTCAGGAGACATGCTTGCTCTGAGGAGCTGGTCGCATCTCCCTGACTGCTGGGAACCAGGAAGGGACACTGCAGAGCCCACTCACATGGCCCCATTCACCACTGCCAGCTTCTGGGTGAGGTAGATGGTGTCGTCCTTAATGGTGATCAGAACAGACTCCACCCGGGGGTGGCCCCCCGCCTGGCCCGGGCCCCGCCTCAGGTGCACGGCAAATTCCTTGTAAGAGTCCCGACAGTCGGAAGCAAAGTTGTAATCGCAGAGGCCGGGGAAGCGGAAGACATCGCCATCAAAGGTTTTGTAGTGGAAGTCGCCCCAAGTGCTGCAGACATGGTTTCGGGTTCTGGGTTCTGGGGTAGCGACAGGGACACGGGGTGAGTCACACAGGCTTGGGGATGGCTGCCTTGAGCCCACTCCCCAAGCTAACCCAGAGGCCCCTCCAGGAGTGCCCATCTGAGACCCCAGCACAAGGTTCCTGGCCAAGAAGATCCCTCTTGCAGGAAGGGCCTCTGCTAGATTTTGCTCACCTTATGCAGAGGCTCTCAGCTCCCCAAAACAAGTCTAAACTTCCAGCCAATGGGGAGTGAAACCGGCAGTGGAGGCAGAGGGGCCTTTAGGCACCCTGGTCACTCTGTCCACTTGGCCAGCATCCCCACTGGTCACTGCACCCCTCCCTCAATTAATGCTCCACTCAGCCCCCCTCCATCTACCTCTCGCCCAGCAAGAGGCTGGGCCAGGCCCCTCAGTCTGCTCGGACCCCCACTGGAACACACCCTGTCCATAGCCTTGTCCTGATGGGACAAAGGTTTCCCCTGCAGACACTCAGCCTACTCTCTGGGGGTGCCGTTTTGGCCTTTACCCTCTGAGGGCCCCTGATACCTGGAACTGTCCCCAGTTTGGTTCCTCCTAGACACCCCATGCTTCCCCCACACCCAGGGACAGTGGTCCCTCGGGGGTTCAAGCTGATAAGGGCCCCTTAGACTTACTCTGGCTCAGGTCTCAACCTCAAAGGGATGGTGGGAGACCTAAGACCTCAGACCAGTTGGAGTAGCTCAGGACATCCTGGTCCCCTTGGGACTACACAACAGGCTGGGCAGAGGGGACCCCCCTCCTCTCCAGGCACTGCTGACTCACTGCTCTGAATGCCCAGCCTTCCTGACCTCAGAGGGCCCTGCCTACTCCCTTGCCCACCTCTCCCAGCCCCTTACCTTCCTGAAGCTCTGAGCCCCTGGCCAAGGCCAGGGCCAGGCAGACAGCCACCAGGCGATCTAGTGGCAGCCCCATGGTGGCTCAGGAGGGTGGCACGCGAGAGCACCCTGGAGCAGGGGTCTAAGACTTATATGCCTAGCGGGCATCCAAGGGCGGGGAGGACAGGGGAGGGGCAAAGGGTGGGTGGGGCGTTTGCCAGGTTATCAGGAAAACAGCTGTGGGGGCTCCGTGGATCCCAGTGAGGAAATATTGATTCAGGATATCTGAATTTATCTTTATATGACTCCTTGGGTAAACTCGGTCTTCCTCAGGATGTCACAGCCCCAATTAGCCCAGTGCCAACGCACACCCCGGGTGAACTTCATTCCTCTCAACTACCAACCAGGCCAAACCCAGGATGGGAGAACCAGGGGGTACATCCCACAGGTTCTGCCCAGACCCCAACCCAGTAACCATCTAACATAGCCCAGGTAGAAGGAAAAGCTTCTAGGAGTCCCCCTTCTCCATTCCATTCCTCCACAGGCAGCGTGGACTGAGACAGCCATAAGCCCTCAGTCCATGACACCCTGGGGGAAGATAAGCCTGGAAGGAATCAGGGCTCTGGAGGGGGTGGAAGGTATCTGACCCCAGTTCACGTGCCGTCTCCAGAAGATAGAAAACGCGGTCCAGGTCCGCCTGTCTCCCCAGAGCCTGCTGCTTCTGCAGAGCCCAGCTAAGTCCACTCTCTAATCCCCTCATTTTCCCAGGCTCTACTGGTCTCTGGAATTACATGTAATTAGAACTTGAGGAGCACTCAGCCCAGCCAAGGACTTTTGCTGCAATAAAGTCCCGGGGTGCAGGAGGAAGTGACTGGAGGCCTGGAGTGGCTGTTGTGTGGAGATGGGGTCCTGGCCAGGGAGATCAGCCCCCAACCCGGCAGGCCCTGTGCCTGAGGCTAACACTTCTCCCGATGATGTGTGGAGTGAGGGCAGCCTGTCCTGTCTTCTAGCTGTCACTCAAGGGATGTGGTCCTGTTCCAGAAAGAGTAGCGACCTCTGATGGTCCTGTCTCTCTGGGCTGACGCCAAAGCTGCAGCTGCCTGGCCAACATTTGGAAAGGCCCCCAGGAACCAGGGTGCTGCATCTGAGCTGGTACCAACCACAGAACATGAGCCCTTGAGAGACACCAGTTCCCAAGGTCCACCCAGGAGTGGATAGGCACAGGCAGCCACTCATGCTATAGATCCTGACTTTGGCCAGATTCACACAGTGAATTTGGTCATGAGGTGTCTTGGGTTCCAGTTTGGACCCCAAGCTCCAGAGGCCAAGTGAGGAGAATGTGGTCACAGAGACTCTAAACTGGGGCGGGAGGGGGGAGGGCACGACAACAGCTTCTTTCTCAGGCCACCATGCTGCCCTTCCAGGCTCTGCACAAAAAGCTATATCCTGGGGCTAGAGAGATGGTACTGACAGGACCAGTGCCTGCCCTTGGATGTCATCCACTGAGGCCGCTGAGCTATCGCAGGTGAGACCTCCATACCATGATAGCTGGCGTCAGGAGGGGTCCCTGTACTGTAAAGACATCAGGAGCAAGGATCAGCAGCTGGGGGTGGGGCATGGGAGGAAGCTTCTCTTCCTATCCCACTGTGCCCACGAGCTCCAGCCTGGGTCTGCCCTCCCTGCCAGGACTCCAGCAGACGGGGGGACCTGAGTGTGGCCTGAGCCCGAGAAGTGGAGATTAGGGAACCAGAGCAGCTGAACCAAGAACACTATTGTTCTGCTTCCCCATGCGGGCCCCTCAGGCTGGCACCATGCCCAGAGGAAACCCAAGGATGAACCTGGCCTCAAGAACCAATGGTTTTCCATGCCAGGTTCCCTCTGATGGGAGTCAGAGGACTGTTGACTAGACTCAGGATGCCCAGCACAGACCCGTGCTCTGAGCTCTGAGAAGCTAGGTCCTGGATGAGGAGATTAGTTGGCCCTGGACAGAGGAGGTAGGTCCTCTCCAGGTAGACAAGGTCAACCCTATTTCCCCTTTGGATGGAGCGGTGATAATGACCCCAAGCCAAGAGACCTGACCCCACTGCCTTTTGGCTCATCGAAGGCTCTCGGTGGCTTTGTGTGAGCTGTGATGTCAAACACCACAGCATGGGGCTGGGCACAGTGGTCAAGCAGTAGCCCTCGTGGATGAGGGTTGGGGCAGAAGGTAGTGAGGGCTCTAGAAAGAGGCCTGAGAGGAGCTGAGGCTCTACTACAGGATAAACAGAACCTGGAAAGCACTGAGTGGCCACATAGGCCAGTGCACATTTAGACAGAATTCTCACACCATGCTGAATGTGACAGACATAAGGACGGTGACTTTATTCACCTGGCCAATTTCTCCTATGTGCAAGAAGGGCAGATAGGCAGCCTTTGTCCCCAGGAGCCTTACCCCCAGCACCCTGCTGCTCCCCCCCCCCCAGGCCGTGAAGGGCTATGGTAAAGGAGAAGGGACTTCAATGCTTTGAGGAAACTCCTGGGCAGTACCACCTTCTGTGACAAGGATGTGGTGGCCAAGGTGCGAATAACTGCCCCACCTAGGCACAGGTGCACACTGCTGATCAGCAGGCTGCCTGCCCAACCCTTAAGTCAGACTGAACCTGAAGCCAACAGCAGACAGGGTCCTGGGCACCCTGAGCCTTCTTCTGCCAGCCCCACACCCTGCACTATTTACCTGGACAAGACACTGTTCCCAGGAACTGCACAGAATTTACAGCCTTGACTACAGGGAGGAGGGCAGCAAAGACGTCACAGACTCCTAAAATGACTCGTTTCATTCTGCATGTCCACATTCTGACTCATGCGGAAGCTGGAGAGGAGGGGGCTGCAGGAGGAGAGGGAAGCAGAGGAGCAGAAGAAAGGACAGGGCAAGGGAAGGAAGAAGAGCGAGCTCATCCCCCACCCCAAGGGGGGTCAGCAAGCCCAATCCATTCTCAGCAGCCTCCTGCAACGGTGTTTGTCGGCTTGGCTGGGCCTCCACACCCACATTTGATCAGACACTAGCTTGATGTTGCCATGAACACAGTTTTCAGATGTGCGCAGATGCCTTCCCGGAGTGGATGGTGTGGTCTTGAAAAAGAGCCTGAGGTCCCCAAGACAGTGGGAAACTCTGCCTCCAGACTCCAGGTGGAACCTCAGCCCCAAAGGTTTGAGACTCGCAGTCCCCACCACTTCATCAGTCAATTCTTTAAAGTAACACTCCCCAACGTGGGCACATACACACCCTGCTGCCTCAGTTTCTCTTGTCCTCCCCCCTCAGGGCGGGAGGCAGCCACACAGCTCAGTTCAGGGGGAACATCTTTCCCATCCACACTGCAGCTTTGTGAGCCCCCTACCCCAACAGCTCTTCTCTCCTCCCTGTCCCACGTCGACCTCAATGGGACCTCGCTGCCCTTTACCATGCCAACCACGTGCATTGTCTCAGGCAGTTCCCCATGCGGCCATGTGACCAGTTCAGTTATTAGCCCCTGTTGCAGAAGCAGAAACTGAGTCACAGAGGAGCTTATGTTTCAGTTGCTGACACAGTCTCGCTGGGCACTGGCACATGGCTGGCTTAACACCCATGCTGTTGACCACTGCCCCTGCCACCATCCTGACCTCGCATCCCAACATCATGCTATATGGCCCAAACTAGATGGACTTAACTTTAATGGGGGGCTACTGGCCCCATCATGGTGAGCAGATGGAGGATACACCCAGAGAAGCCACAGTTCCCAGCCTTTCCGGTCTCCCAAGGGAGACCCCAGTCCCAGCCCCAGTCCCACAGGGATAAAGCAACAAGTTCTGGGTCTAGGCCCAGTCTGGCAAACATTGTCACCCAGCCATCTCTGCAGGTCATCCCCTGAGATCTGTCAGGCAGGTCACTATTCTTCAAGAGTTCAGTCATTCTGAGGGTTAGGCCCTTCTCACTTCAAGACTTGGTTCAGTTCTCACGCTCACATAAACCACTGTCCTCACCAACGTGACCATACTGTGTGACCATTTCTGGTGTGAGTTACCTCTAGGGCAGCAATCTATGTGGCGATCTCATGGGCCACCCTCACAACAGATGCACTTAATAACTGCTTCTGGACTGAGGAGGTAGGCTGACGTGCAGAATCGATGGATGGATGGATGGATGGATGGATGGATGGATGGATGGATGGATGGATGAACAGGTGATGGTGGCTGGATGGTGGTATGTATTCTTTTTCCACTTGGCTTGTTTCAACACAATTGTTTTGAGACTCGCTCACACTGTTCTGCGCCCCCACCACTCAGTAGTTTTGTGTGATTGCAACATACTGCATTTATTCCTTCGCCTGCTGATGAATGTCCGAGTCAGATTTCTATCACTGGGACAAAATACTTGAAAGACCAACTTGAAGGAAGCTTATTTTGACTCACAGTGTCAGAGGTCTCAGTGCCTGGTCATGTGACCCGCTGTTTTTCAGCTGTGTCGAAGCAGAACATCATGCAGGTAGTCCACAGTGGCACAGAAGTGAACTTGCTCACCTTGCAGGGACCAGGAAGGAAAAGACAGGTGGGGAGGGGCGAGAGCCCGGTGTTCCCTTCCAAGGCGCATCTCACAGTGGCCTCCTTCTTCCCTCTAGATCCCACCACCTGAAGTTCCCACCACCTCCCAATGGCACCGCCAGCTGTGGGGGACAAGCCCCTCAAACATGAGCCTGGGGGACGATCCAGACACAAGCTGTAGCACAGATAACATGAGTTGCTGAGCTTTCAGAACTTGCCTTTTCAGGCCTGTTCTCTGCACCTCCACCTGAATCTAGAATCAGCTTGTCAAGTCCACAAAAGTGAGAGAAAAAACAAGAAAACCTACAAGGATTTTGACCGAGTTTGCACTGAATACACAGATCAGTTTAGGGAGAATCAACACCCAGAAAGATCAGTCTTCTAACTTGCGAACAGCACGTAGGTCTCTGTTTAGATCTTAAGTTCTCTTAGCAATACTTCATAGTCTTTAGTGTGCTGACCTTACATCTTCTTTTTTCAGTATTTTTGAGACAGGGTCTCCCTGTAGCCCCAGCTGTGTGGAACTCACTACGTAGACCAGGC